TATGATGCTGCTTGGCCTGCTGTGTTCATCCAGCCCTGCACCTTGTTACCACCTACTTTGGTAGAGTGCTTGAAAAACTGGTCTATAATGCTTAGGATTGGAGTTTGTATCATCACCTTGCCGAAAATAAGGTGATCTCCTCTACTCATTCATGGTCATGTGATACAACTAATACACCAGACCATGAGTATGGTCAGAAAAAAAAACTCTAAATGTGAGACGCACAATAATAGAACTAAACCAAAGTAATACAGTAACAAATATTGTTCTTTAATACTTTCTGATAAATAGAATATAAAACTTTGCTTAATATTTACATGCAGGGCATTAATTTAATGGATTGTCGGCCAAGGTTTGAAAGCAAATGAAATAAAATCAAGAACAACCAAATATGCTAGTAGAAAGATTTTGCAGAAACATTGTCAGATTTTAATACCAGAGAATTGAACAGAAATACAAGGTAGGAATTTAACACCATGAAGTCAAAAGCAAATGGGGAGAGAAAGAAGGTGAAAGCATCACAAAAATCTCTACACAATTACCTCTATTGTACTCAGCTCTCCTGCTGCATCTTGACATGAACAGTTCCAGCTAAGCGTTCTTGACACTGTCGGATCTTCCCAGGTATAATAGGTTGCTTTACCTGGCTCTAGTTGATGTCCCTTTCCAGTTGAACTGCTGGTAACAAATCATAGGACCATATTTCAGTTTTAATACAAATCCTAAATTGCACTTCAGTGTTCTAAGTTCTTGAAGATCATATTTACTATTGACCAAAAATATTATTTGATATTTTGAAACGTTGCCCATTAAGTGACAGCGCACATTTTAAAAGTAAAATTATTAGAAGATGAAATCTGGACTTTTATTCCAATTCAGTAAAACAAGAATAAATGGAATAACTAATTCTGCAAGCAAATTACTTGCCACTTGGAGGGGACCACTCATTTAACATCTGATAAGACACTTTACAGGGGCAATCTCCCTTCACACATTTACAGGCCTCAATTTTAATGTATGCTCCTCAATGCACAGAAGAGGATTAGGGTTGAAAATATATGAATTGGGCAACTCCAACCTGTGAAAACTTGAAGTTGACTGTTGTAGATATTAGCAAGGTTTCTGCAAATTACAGGGCCTAATTGTTTTTTCTTTATTCTATCACGGAATGAATGCATCGCTGGCCAGGCAGCATTTATTGCCCATTCCTAATTGCCCAGTGGGCAGTTAGGTGTCAACCACAATGCTGTGGGTCTGGAGTCACATGTATGTCAAGCCAAGGAAGGGTGACAGTTTCCTTCCCTAAAGGACATTAGTGAACCAGGTAGGTTTTTCTCGACAATCGACAAGGGATTTATGGTCATCATTAGATTCTTAATTCCAGATATTTATTGAATTCAAATTCCACCATCTGCCATGGTGGGATTCGAACATGGGTCCCCAGAACATTATCTGGGTCTCTGGATTAAAAGTCCAGTGATAATAACACTATGCCATCACCTCCCCAAGGGGGATAATAACATCCCAAGGTGATGAAAAATGTGAAAGAAATTCAAGCTGTGAGATTCTTGGTCAGCTGAAGAGGCTGACTCTCTCAAATACCCAAAGTCTTGTCTCTTTCAGCACTCTTATGGTTCAGGAGAGCTGCCCCAAGTTCAAGGAAACCTTCAACCTCCCCTAGTACTCCTGACTGCAGTCCTACATACTCCACACCTAAAACAACTGAAAATCTGACTCCCTGCTGAAATTTCCTCCCCCTTATGCCATCGCCCCTGAAATACTGACCAAAGATATCAAAACTCCTTCCCAAATTATGAGTGGAACTTCCTCCCACTTATATTGGGTCTAGTTAAATTGCTCCTAGGAGGGATGTGGGTTATATCACAAATTACACCTCTTCAAATCCTTGGCCTTCATTTTACTTATTTTTGCACACAGATGTCATTGTATATAAAAATCTAGAGATGTTGAAAGCTCCTCCAGCATTTCATATAGATTATCATCGTAAATTTGAAGGGCAAGTGCAGCTGATTAGCCAAACATAAAGGGCCTATGATAATTGTCTAGATCTCACTCAACTTTATGGGTAAATGAGTAGTGATGAAGAAGAACCTGAATGATCTAAAGTAGAGCTTCTAAATCGGAAAAACAACAAACAAAACAAGAGGGTATCTAGCCAAAATGAAATGAAACCAAACGGACTGGAGACATGGTAAAAGAATAACGGGCTTTCTTTGAGGTGGTGTTTCATGTTCAGTTAGATATATTCCAACAAGTAAGGAGGCAGAGGAGCCAAAGCCAGAGCTCTCCTGAATGAAGAGGAAGACACAGAATAAGAAACAGAAAAAAAGACAGTATCTGACACACATCCAGTGAATTCTTCAAATGAAAATCAGGCCAAATACAATGGGCTGAGTAGGGAAGTGAAAAGGAAAGCAAGACTGGCTAAGAAAGAACAGAATGGCAGTCAACATAAAAAGAGAACCCAAAAATCTTTTACCAGCAAGTCAACAAGAAGCGTATAGAAACAGATGACTCTACGAGGAATGAAGAAGGCGCTTTACTCTGACCAATGCAAAGCAAGGTTGAAATACTTGATGTGTTCTTTTTACTGGTGTTTACTGACAAACTCAATGCTGACAAAATATTGCTAGAAGCAATGTAATGGATGGGAAGACAATTGATAGACGGGATGCACGGGAAAGGCTGGTTATGCTTAGAATGGATTAGCCACCTGCTCCAGATAGATTGCATCACTAGTTGCTAAGGAAAGTATGCTGGAGATAGCAAAGAGTCTACCAAAACTCTTCAAACTTCCTTAGATAGGGCGGAGATGCCAAATGATTGCAAAGTGGCAAACATGGCATCCTATGTCAGAGAGAATTTGAGGACATTCATAGCAAATACAGGTTGGTTGTTTAACCTTATTGGTGGTCAAGGCTTTAATAAAATAATGTCAAATTTTATGGTTAGGTTTCACTTAACTAAGGAGGGACAACATTGATTTATAAAAATCAGAAAGTGTTTGTCTGATCGAATTTTGAGCTCTTTAAAGAAGTAACTGAGAAGGTTGTTGAAGGGAATGCAATGGATGTTATTTATTTGGATGTTTAACATGTGTTTTTAAGAAGTACCACATAATTAACTGGTTCGTAAATACAGGCTCATGGAATAAGAGGTCAGTGTCAGCATGGATAAGAATTAGCTGGAGAATAAAAAGCAGAGAGTTGTGGCTGTTTATCCTACTGAAGGATGGTGACAGTAGCGCCCCCCAGATGTCAGTGACAGGATTACTACATTGTTAATTTACATAAATGGCATTACATTGGAATACACAAGCATAAACTTTCCAAATTTGATAGTAACAACAAACTTGAAAATGCAGCAAACAGTAAGGATGATATAATTTGACGGCAGCAGGATAGAGACGAGCAGAATGGGCAGCTAAGTGGCAGGTGGAATTTAATACAGTTATATTTGAGAAGATACATTTTGGCAAAAGGGACAAGGAGAGGCAATATATACTTCATGGCACAATTCTAAACAATTGCTGGAACAGAGGTTACTCAGATTCATATACACAGATTATTAAAGGCGGCAGGTCATTTTGAGACTATAGGGAACCATGTGTATTGGATCTTGGGCTGCCCAAATAAAGGGATTCAGTACAAAAAGATTAAGGCTATCGTGAACCTCAAAGTTCACTTGAAATCTACATCCAGATCTGAAGCCTATACTTTGGAATGGATGCAAGGGTCCTTGAGAGTATTCAGATTAAATTCATGAGAGTACTGCCTGGGATTTAAAGTAGAAAAATTTCCATCAACCTGAAGATGTACAGTCCACCACTTTGAAACAAGTGGCTGTAGAAACAACAGACACATGATGGTCATATTGGAAAGTGGCAAATTTCTTATGGTATGATGTGGAACTTAACCAACTTCTTTAACCTAACCTAGTGGCTTCTTATCTCCTTCAAGCAGAAGTGATTTAGGGAAGATCTGAAAGAGGTACACACAAATATGCCGATAAGGCTGACAAAGAAAATCTCTTCTCACAGCTCATTAGTTGGGGTTACAAATTTAAAGTGTCGTGCAAAAATACAGGAGGATGTGTGGAAGATCTCTTATGCAGTCAGTGGTAATAATTTCAAATTTGATGCGAACAGGGAAATGGATGTGGAGACCATTATGACCTTAGGACAAAGAATGCAGTGGGAGGGGTAATGAGCTAGGCGTCATGAAATTAGCTTGATTATGCTTTTCAGCACCAGCACTGCTTTATTCACTGCCATAACGACATTATAACTTGAATCTTAAGTATTTTTAAAATGCAGTCACTTTAAAGCATCAATGGATTGCCATTGTGATAAATTTGTGTATTCTGACATATGAGTTGGTCCATTGACAGAGGTCACTTTTAATAATTGTCAAAGATGCAAATAATGCTTAATAACCTTGAAATACATTGTAGTATGCAAATATAGCAAAACATTAGAACACATATCTATTGGCAAAGATTGCTACCATCAGTAAATTACAGTCTATGGATTACATGCTTATCTGACTTTTAAAAATCACATCCTATGAATGGATGTAGATAGCCTATTGCTAAAATGTATTCCAGGGAGTTTTTTTTTTGTTGATTAAAGCATATGTTCGCTGTTGTCTGATCTGGGAACTGGAAATAAGCCCAGTTCACTCCTATGCTTATAGAATTCTTAAATAAAATGATCAATAAAGTTTAATGGAAGCAGCTCAAAAAATTCTTGTGATACACGTAAAGTACCTCTGATGATATTCAATCCTGCTTGCATTTGTGTCATTAATAATGAGGAATGGAGCAGCCCCTTCATGATAGTCCTTAAAAGTCACCACCAACGAATGTTCTGCCAAGTGTACTTCTACTATGATGCCTCCAAACTGTAACATGTAAAGGAAGTTTCAATCAGGACGAGAATCATGTTGTAGTTTATTTTAAATTCATTGAAATTCACAATATGCAATTGAAAACCAAGTTTCTGCTGTCTAGACACACTATATTTTGAAATAGAGTATCAAATCCTTTAGATCAAAGGGTCAGCAGTTGATTAAAAATGAGAATGATCTTAACATTTCTACTGCAGCAGAAGTAATAAATTCACAGTGGGAAACCATCAGAAGGAACCAATGGCTTAGACATAGTCCATCTAGCATCTGCTTTTCAAATGCTGCACAAACCCCCAACACTCCAATATGACATGCAGGACAGAAATACAATTTCCATCTAAAATTACAGCAGTCACTATAATGATTTAGAGCAGACAAATTATGTCCTTTAATTACACCTGAAGCCATTCTTGAGCACTTTGCGTGAGCAACTATACCTAGTTGAGGTTTCATTGGTTTGTCCTGAAGTCCATCAGAACTGAACTCAAGAAAACCATCTCTAGGGGTTACAAAACCAAACAGAAATTGCTGGAAAAATCCAGCAGGGCTGGCAGCATCTGTGGACAGGAATCAGAGTTAACATTTTGGGTCCAGTGACACTTCTTCAGAACGTCATCAGCTCTGATTTTCAGCATTCACAGTTCTTTTGTCCTTTTCCCCTCAATTCTCGAGGTTGCTCATCAATAAAGTGAGTAGATCAATTTCTGGTCCTACAACTGATCTCTTCATAATCTCAAGCCTCATCTCTACATCCCAAATCACCTAACACTGGCTGGCTCTACTAATGCCCCATTAGCCCCTTTGCAGTGCTCCTACCTTCTCATGCCAATCCCTGATCTGGAATTTCTCTGTCAATATCCAAACCTGTGCATGTTCATCTTTCGATTCCTGACTCAGGGTGCCTCTCTTGATTCCAACACATACATCTATTATGTGAGGGCCATTGCAGCCAAATTTGGAATTTCCTCAACTATTGGGTCCTTCAAGTTTTGAACACTGGAATGAGACCGGAGACTCAATATTTGAAGGGCATCACACCTCAAATTTCAGATATAAAAGTAGACGTGTTGGAGAAACTCAGCTGGCCTGGCAGCATCCGTAGTGAGAAAAATAGAGTTAACATTTCACTGCCAGTATGATTTCTTCTGAAGATCAGATCCCATGTGGAGTACGAGTTCAGTTTTGAGGACTGCATAGGATATCGGATAGGGTGCACCTTAGATTCACCAAAATGATACTGGTACATAATACTAGGTAGGTTCTATAAATTCAGCTTGGATATCTTTGAATTTAAAATCTGATGAAAGTAGATAGGTGATCTACTTTCAAAATGACAGAGAAAATCTGGAAATATTCACAGAAAGGTAAATATCTAGAGAGAGAAACAGTTAACATCCACAATCACTGACTTTGCATCACAATTGGTACAAGTTACAAATGTAACAAGTTATGCACAAGGAATGAATTGGAAAAGGAAAAATGAAGACCTATGACATGGTGGTAGCCCAAAGAAATTGAATTAAAGAAGAGTAATTCTTACAAGACCCAAAGGAATGGTAATGGAGCAATACAAGAAGCAAGGAAACATAAAATGTGCTTTAATTAGGTGTACTGATGAGTGCAAGCAAAAATAAAAGATAAAATGAAACAAGCAAAGAAAAGGATCGTGAATCAACGGGTACATGTTTAAACAGTTTTGCAAAAAGCAGCAAATAGGATGAGAAAAAAATCTCAGTGCAAATAGCCTGGGTTCGGAATGCATTGCTCGGAAGTACACAGACAGGTCCAATTGAGGCATTTAAAAAGGGCATTGGATGATTACTGAAGTGTAAACAACGTGCAGGATTATAGGGACAAAACTTGGGTTTGGCACTATGCCCAGGTAGCTAGTGCAAACATGAAGGATTAAATAGCCTTCTTCTGCACCACACAATTCAATGATTCTGTGAAAAGGAAACAATGGGACAAAATGATCGGAAATTGCTAAAATCAATGTTCAGTCTGGAAAACTGTAGAGTTTCAGATTTTAGCAAGGATTTGCAGCTTGGATCATGGGGGAGGTTGCTGACTTGCTCATCAAGCTGGCTTGTTTTTGTTCAGATGTTTTGTCACCATGCTAGGTAACATCATCAGTGACGCCTCCAATGAAGTAATGTTGTTCTATTCCACTTGGAATTTATATTTCCGGTCCGTTATGGTGAGTAGTGTCATTTCCGGGTTTGCCTGTATGGGTTTGTATATGGGGTCCAATACTATATGTTTGTTGATTGCATTATGGGTTGAGAATCAGGTCTCTAGGAATTCCCATGCATGTCTATATTGGGCTTGGGCTACTAAGGTTACACTGTCCCACTTAAACTGATGACTTTCATTCTCAGAGTGTACCGATCTTAAGCAAAGTTCGTCGTGTCGTTTTGCTGCTAACCAATGTTCGTGTATTCTGATGACTAGTTTCCTTCTGGTTTGTCCAATGTAATGATTTGTGGCAGTTGTTACATGGTTTTTTGTAAACCACGTTGGTTCTGCACGTGACAAAATGTCTGAACGAAAACAAGCCAGCTTGGGGAGCAAGTCAACAACCTCACATAGACTGTAGAGTCCCTAATTGAAAATAAGATTTGTATTTCATGCTGACACTGCACTTCACAGAAACCGTGCAGTAGGCCAAGGACAGAAACATCAATATGAAATCAAATAACAAACCAATATGATTATGGAACTGACTGAAGGTATTCTGCAAAGCAGTCACATTTGGCCTTTCCCAGTGTAGAGGAAACCACATTGTAAACACGGAATATAATTTATTAATTTGAAAAAGCATTTGTTTGAAAATTTGCATAATCAGAACAGATGTAATCAAGAAGGATGAACTGAGACAATGTAATGATCTCCTTACAGGATGTAGGGTGAGAAAATGTGAAGTAACTTTGGGAGTCAGTAGGCGAGTAAAGAAAGTACATTGTCTCCATCACATCATTTCCAAAAGGTGCCAAGTTCCACATCAACAGTTACTTCTGTCAATTCAGTATATTGCATTTACTATTAACGAATGTGGAATTCTCTAGGGCAGGGAGATCAAATGCAGCTTGGATGACTGATTCATGGAAAACCTGCAAGCATGACTCCAAGCTTCCAGTTGCCTGTTAATTTAAACTCCACCTTGCTCTCACACTGATATCTCTGTCCTTGGCCTACTGCAATGTTCAAATGAAGTTTATCACAACTGAGACGAACAGCATCTCTTCACTTGATTAGGCAGTTAACAAACTTCTAGACTAAATGCTAGTTCAATAATTTCAGACTGTAAACCGTATTTCCCCATTTTGTTTCATATTCTTTTCATATTTCATTTTTTTCTTTTAATTTTGGTTTCAGGCAGCATCATAGCTGACCTAGGAAATTTTTTTTGTTTCTTTTCCAATATAGAGACACAAAAGCAATTGGCTCCACTGTTTAATAAGATCATGGTCAATCTGATTGTGGCTTGAAACTCTCATTCCTGTCTAGTCCCACTAACTTTTGACTCCCTTATTAGTCAAGAATTTACCTATCTCTGCCTGAAAAGTATTCAGTGACCCTATCTCTATTGCTCTCTGTCAGAGAGAGTTCCAAACATTCATGACTCTCAGAGAGAAAACACAATCTTCCTCGTTTCAATCTTAAATGGGCATTCGCTTATTTTTAAAGTATATCCCCTAGTTCTAGATTCTCACACAAGAAGAACACGTCCTTTTCACATGCACCCTGTCTGGACTTCTCCAGTTCTTACATTTCAATTTAATCTCCTTTTACTCCTCTAAACTCTAGAAGATACAAGTCAAGCTTATCCAACCATTCTCCAAGCCAACCTGTCCAATCTAGGTATTCATCTCAAAACTTTCTCTGAACTGCTTCCAACACATTTACATCCTTAAATAAAAGGAAAACAATACTGTACCAACACTGAAGTAGTCTCACCAATATCCTACACAATTGAGGTGTAACACGCCAACTTTTTTGTTCAATTTCACTCACAACAAACAATAACACACTATTAGCTTGCCTAAATACTTGCAATATCTGCATATTAACTTTCTGCGACCCATGCATGAGGGCACCCAGGTCTGTGTGCACTTCACAGCTCTGCAATCTCTCATCATTTAGGTAACATGCTTCTTTTTTATTCTTCCAGTTAAACTGGATAATTCCACAAATTTTTCCACAATATACTCCAACCACTGGATCTTTGCCTAAGCACTCAAAGGGGCCATAATTATTTCTAATACATACTAAATGACACAGATGATGGGAGTGAATGTATTACCAACAAGCTTACGGATGACACAAATTGGTGGGAACCCAAATAATGAAGATGACACAAGGAGTCCACAGAGGAATACTAACGGGTTTAGTGATTTGATGGCCAAATTACCTAATTCTGCTCCTATGTCTTATGGTCTTACTTATTGTATCTATACTCTTTTATGACTCCTAATGTTCTCTTCACAATTTACTTTCGTACCTACCTTGGTGTCATCACTCAATTTGACAGCCAAAAATTCAGTCCTTTCATCCAAATCATTTATATAAAATTGTAAAAAGTTGGGACCCCAGAATTGCTCTGTGATGCATCACTTGTTATGTCTTACAACATTGAAAACACTCACTTATTTCTTCTTCTCCGTCTCCAGTATCCAAGGGCCCAAACGCACCTTCCAGGTGAAGCAACACTTCATCTGCACTTCCCAGAATCTAGTCTACTGCATTCGCTGCTCACAATGTGGTCTCCTCCACAGTGGGGAAACGAAGCGTAGACTTGGTGACCGCTTTGCACAACATCTACGTTCTGCTCACAAAAAAGACCCTGAACTACCTGTTGCCTGCCACTTCAACGCAGCATCCTGCTCCCTGGCCAACATCTCAGTCTTTGGCTTGCTGCAGTGTTCCAGCGAAGCCCAATGCAAGCTGGAGGAACAACACCTCATTTTCCACTTGGGGACCCTCCTGCCTTCTGGACTCAATGCTGAGTTCAATAATTTTAGGGCCTAAACTCTCCCATGTCCCAGCCCCCTACCCCACACACCAGGTCTTGTTACCACATAGCCTGCCATTACACACCTCCTGTTGTTGGTCACTAACAGTCCCCAATAACAACTATTCACCCTCCCAACATGATTGTTAGCAACTCCTTTGTCTGTCCAACTGTCTCTCTCTCTCTTTGGGCTCTATCTTATTGTTTACTCCCTACCCGACCCACCTCCCTATTTTCTGCACATAAACAACATTTTCCCAACCACTATCAGTTCTGAGGAAGGGTCACCAGACCCGAAACGTTAACTCTGTTTTTTCCTTCACAGATGCTGCCAGACCTGCTGAGCTTTTCCAGTAACTTTGTTTTTGTCACTTATTTCTTTTGTTTCCTGTTAGCGAGTTAATCTTTATCTATGCCAATATGTTACCTACCATACAATTAGCTTTTATTTTCCACACTAAAGTTTGACATGGCACCATTTCAAATACCTTCTGATAATCTAAATTAATCTTCTGATAATCTAAAGGGGAGATGATGGCCTACTGGTATTATCGCTGGACTGTTAATCCAGAGACCCGGGCTCGAATCCCGCCACTGCAGATGGTGGAATTTGAATTCAATAAAAATCTGGAAGTAACAGTCTAACAATGGCAATCCATTGTCGATTGTTGGAAAAACCCATCTGGTTCACTAATATCCTTAAGGGAAGGAAACTGCCATCCTTACCTGGTCTGGCTTACATGTGACTCCAGACCCACAGCAAGGTGGTTGACTCTTAACTGCCCTCTGGGCAATTAGGGATGGGTAATAAATGCTGCCTGATCAGCCACGCCCTCATCCCGTGAATGAATAAAGAAAAAAAAACAAAGCGTCACAGGATGCCCCGTAACCAATTTATCAGAATTCTTTGAGGAAGAAACAGTGCTGTAGATAAACATGGATTTCCCTTTCACAAAATCAAGTTGATTGATTATCTTGAGTTTGTTCAAGTGCCCTGCCGTACTAATTTTAATAAAAGCTTCCGACAACAGATGCTGTTAACTGGCTTCCTGTTCCTTAAGATTTATCTTCCTGTTTTTTTATAAAGGAGTTACATTTACTATTTGCCAATCTAATGGAACCTTAGCAAAAAATATGGAGTTATGCAAAGTTAAAAATTAAAGCCTCAACTATCTGACGAGCCACTTCTGTTAAGACCCAAGGACGTCCAATTCTCGTACACTTTCCACATGCTGGCTGCGTGTGTGAGAGAGTGAGAGCAAGAGCAGAGTGGACAAGCAGACCCAACAGCTCCCAGTCTCCGGAGATCTTGTTCAATCGCTTGTGCAGTGGCCGCTATAAAATTATTATTTATATTCTGCCCAATCTTTTTGGCCCACCATTTATCTTATCTGCTTTTTCTTACAGTTTGATACGGTCTTAACTTCCTTCGTTAACCACAAATGTGCCATTCTCTCAAAATATTTGTTGCCCTATCACCACCCCCATGACACCTGTAAGAATAATTCTCCTGTCATTACATCCTCCACCCAATAAAAGGCCTTGCTTTGTTTTTGTCCTTTCTATCCTTTGATGAAAAACCATTATTACCTCTAACCTTACCCAGTTCTGATGAATTCAACAAAAATGTTAACTGGAAGGGTCACTAAGACTCGAAATGTTAACACTGTCCACTGATGCTGCTAGACTGCTGGGTTTCTCCTGCACAGTTTTTATTGTTAAAAATGTTAACTATTTCTCCATTCACAACCGATGCCTAACTTGCTAACTATTTCCAACATTGACAATATTCAGTTTTTAAATTTTGCGTAAAAATGACAAAGTGATTTGCTGGCACAAAAATAGAAAAACTATTTCTTCCAGTGGATTAATTGAAAAGTAGAGGACTACATCTTATAATTAGGGCTAGTGACTCAGGAGTGAAATCAGAAGCGACTTTTCACAAACAACAAATGGAAACTTGGATGCTCTATGAAAATACTGACTGCATCAGATCAATCAAAATCTTTGATACTTGACCAACAGATGTTTACTGGGCCACACTATAAAGGGTTGAGAGGCAGGTATAATTCAGTAACTAAGTGATTCTTGTTTCCACATTCCAACAAGGAAGAAAAGCTAAGGAAACTGACAGCAGAATAGAAAGTGAGTGTTGTGCAACAAAAATTGGCAAAAGGTAGGAAATTCAAGATGATAAGGGAAAGCGAAGGTCAAGTTCATGTGAAGAAGATAATTAATTAATTAATGACCAGGAGGAAGGACAAAATAACTGGATGTCTTTTAGGATTGTAATGGAATGGTGTGGATGATGAAAAATGAATGCATGCACAGCAGTAGTTGAAGCTCTACAACAAGATGGAGAGAATGGGTGAAAGCATGATACGATTATGGATGACTATAGCATGAATCCTTCACATGGTTTTCACTGCTTCCTCTCCATCTGACCTCTAACTATGCAAATGGAGGGAACAGAATAATAAAAGCAGCAAAAGAAAACTTCAAACAAAATCACACATGCTATCAGAAAAAACAAGAGGGGACAAACGAAAGAGGACAAACAGACACTCATCAACAATACACCAAAGAAACCGTTAAAAACCAGATGCATCCTGCAATTGACGGAGTGATCCATAGAAATTCAACCTAAATGTTAGTCAGCGGTTCAAGAAAGAAAACTTAATTACTTGGACCTTTTTAAAATGAATAACATACATGCAGCCAGCTAGACACTTTGGTGCTCTTGTACAATCACGTTTCTTATCTCGTAACATTTCTAAAACATTCATACCTTATTGTCCAGACGCAGTAAAAGGCAATTTTCTTGTTTGTTGAAGTAAACTTTTTGTGGCCCTGCACTGCATCCTTCAATTCGAACTGCTAATCTCTCAGAATCTCTGGCAGGCCAGAATGGGCTGCACTGGTTAAAACAGATCAAACTATTCCATAAATAAATAAAAAATCTATGACACATTTAATGGTAAAATACAAACTTAAATTATGCATTTCATCTAGACTGATAACAATGGGACTTCCTTCTATTGGATAATTTGACTAATCTTGCAGGCTACTCAATGGCGAAGAAATAAAACTGTAAACAATTCAAGCCGCTCAAATTCTATTTGTAGACAAAGTGAAAACTGTAAAGTAAGCAGATGTAAAGAAAGTTCAAGATTTCTGCCTAACAGAAAAATCACAGGTTTGAATGAACAGATGTGTTAAGGTTAGTCTAACAAATAATTTCAGAGCAACCTCTTATTTCACAAGGCTGTGGAAATCACCAAGATTAGGTAAGAACATTTACTGCGAAGTCCAGTTTTGAGTACGTCAAAAGAAAATGAAGAAACTCCTTTATTCCATCTTAGTTAAGCCACGCAGCTGAATCCACCACAATTACGATCTGCACTTCTTTTTAAAACGACTAAAGCTGTTTAAGGCCTAATGTAAATGATAGAAACATGCAATATTAGGGTTCAGAGATGGTAGTGTAATGGTATTGTCAATGGACTAGGTGAATGGACTAGGACAATGTCCTGGGAATATAGGTTCAAAATCCCACCAAGTTCATAGAATCCCAGAATCCCTACAGTGTGGAAGCAGGCCATTCAGCCATCAAGTCCACTGACCCTTCGAAGAGCACCCACCCAGACCTATCCCTACCCCAACCCCCACCCCCACCCCATCACTGTAACCCTGCATTTCCCATGGCTAATCCACCTAGCCTGCACATCCCTGAACACTTCAGGCAAATTAGCATGGCCAATGCACATCTTTGAACTGTGGGAGGAAACCCAAGCAAACACAGGAAGAGTGCGCAAACTCCACATTGACAGGCAATCAAACCTGGGTTCCTGTCTCTGTGAGGCAGCAATGCTAACCACCGAACCACCATGCCACTCCAAAATGGGGCAACTTGCGATGGTCAGGAATCAAGTCCAGGTCAACTGCTTTGAAGGCCACTATGCTTACCACTATATCACCATTACATATCACTGCAAGTTGGCTGGTGGAACTGAAATTCAATTAATAGAATCTGGAATATAAAGCCAGTATCATTAATGATGACCGTGTCAGCTATCACCGATTGTTGTAAAATACATCTAGTTCACTAATGTGCTTTAAGGGAAGTACTCTATTAAACTTACTTGGTCTGGAGTACACGTGACTTCAGATGCACAGCAATATGGTTGACTTTTAAATCCCCTCTGAAATCTGCCTAAGGGCAATTAGGACTGGACCTTACCAGCAGCAGTCTCCTCCAATGAAAGAGCAAAATGGGGGGAAAAAAAGGGCATTGCATCCCACGTCTATTGTTTGTCTCCCAAGTTATCTAGATTACTCATTTTCTCAGTTCCTACATCTTGCAATATTCAGCTTTTCAAATTAACTATACATTTCTTTTAAATATTCACTAAATTGATTAGAAGGATGTTCAATTACCTGATTAGAATCAATGCTCAACCATTTTGATTCACATTCTTCAACAACTTCAATCTTGTGTTTCGTTTGATTGATTAGCATGTGAAATGGTGTAAAGGTAACAATTCTTGTGAGATTAAAGCTGCTGTTGTCTATTTTCACACCAACCTAGAGGAAAATCATTTAATTACACTTTAATTTGTTCATGATTATACAGGAAAAACATTAAACTTAAACTAGTTAAATTGATTACTAACAAGTTTGCATCCTTACACGAATTTCAGTTGTGTTTCAATTTTCCATCTGTGAAGGCTCACAGAATTCTCTTTGGTAAATGGCAAAAGTTATAAACCACCAAAATCCTTTGACATCTATTTCAAACTGACAAAAGGCTCTAGTGCAGTTACAAATTATCAAAGTATTGGGCATAATGTCCCAAATCCTCATGCTTATACAGACAATGATTCTTATGCTGCCAGCCCTTGGTGCACACCTCTTCCTTGTATAGGTCACATGCAACTCCTGACATAGCTAAGTTTTTTTTCAAGCACTGCAGCTATGTTATTTTGTGATTTTGTAATGAATTCCACATGAGCAAACAGCATGCTCATTTTCTGTGGGTTCCCTCTCCCCTCAGACTTCTATATCAGCAGATTCTCCAGATTATTTTTAGCACTAAATGGGTGTGGTATTTTCAAAAACAAATCAAGAATAAAAAGAGATGACAGACAATGGAACAAGTTAGCTGTCAATTGGTGAACATAATGCCTCCAGTAACAAAGCAGCATATCCAAATAATTTTCCAAATTTGCATGCATTGCATTCATTTTGTGATAGAAGGCGTACAATCTATAGATATTATCATCAACCATTTTAGAATTTATATTTTGAACTAAGGCACATGGGCTTTTGGTCAGTGTGTATTAAGAGGTAAAGATTAACTTGTTAGTCTTTCTAGAGCCAGCCATTATGCTAAATTAGTTGTGTCAGACAGCAGCTGATAGGAGGCCCAATTTGTGTCACCCCACTCCCTCATTTGGAATTAATGGATTTTCTCTCAGAGCACTGGCATGGAAACAAGAGCACAGAAGGCCTCCTTTTCTGTGCTGTAACTATTCTATGATTCTGTTCATTACTTTAATATACTAAAACCATATGTGGGTGAAATATAATTTAAAAACACCTACCTGATACTCCTTTTTTGGTCCTTTGCATTTTACAGAGCCGTAACTGCCCACTGTGTCCAGAGAAAATGAATCTGACAACTGGCTGTCAGTTATCCTAAGCTGAACCTATATTTTTCAAATAATATGAAAGCAACATACTTTTACAGTATTCAGGTCAATGTAGCTCAATATTTTGTTGAAATTATTTATGTTCAGTTCTACAATGTTCTTCTACATTACAATTTGGTAATTTCACTCAAAAGGTACATCATATTACACTTTATAAATGCAACTAATGCAACCATAAGAAAAAAAACCTTGGTACTAATTAATTTCATGTTTCATAAAATAATCGAACTCCGAGAAATCTTGCTATTTTTGTGTCAGTTGACCAACCCAAATCAAATCCAAACGAATGAAGAAAATTTATATGAAGCACACTGCAAAGTTTTGATTTTTAAATGACAAAGATCAAAACAGCAAGTTTTTGTTCCCAGATTGGCATAAAGACAGTGTTCCCAGGCCACAGTCCAAGGCCATCTTCAGCTCTCAGTCTACTGCTTTAAATCAAAACTGATACAAGAATAATATTAAAATAATTAAACATCAGTGAGGGTTCTAACAACAGGAGTACTATCAAATCCCGTTTTCACTTCTAGCACTGATATAAATGTAAAGCTTAGCACTTAATTGGAGAGAAATAAAAATTTCATACATAAAAATGTCTTAGAATCCTTCCCTAGTTCTTATATTTCTGTCTCAGTTTGCTGCTTAATGGCTTACTGGAAAGAGGAAATGCATGCATGGCTGCTTCACTTGGTAAAACTTATTATTAACTGAATAAAAGTATAATTCTCCTGTACAATTAAATATTATATAATTGAAATAATTTTAGATTATAAGAAAGCCTTGTGCCCAAACCCATGCACTTTTTTAGGTTGAAATTCCTCCTAATGGCATCCTTTGAATAATGTTGTAATATTATTTTAATACTTGAAAACAAATGAGCAGTATACAATAGTAAAATATAACAAGAAAGACAAACAATTTACCTTATTCTTTTCAAAAAAGCATTTGGATCCAAAAGAAAAAAGCAGTGGCTTTTTGTAGTCCAAAGGATGCTTACGATGAACATCATCAGCTTTGTATTGAAGCATTCGCCCAGTTTTATTTATCATCCAATAGGGACTATACAACGATAACAACACATGTCCAACATTGTATGTTGCAAGGACTGCAATGTCTATTTCAGTTTCTTCACCATCAATATATGATTTAAATTTGATTAATTCAATATCTGTCTGATTGCTTTTGATCGAGTATTCTCCTGCCCAATTATGTTCCAAATAGTCAATAATAGTCAGTGTCAGTTTGGATTGGTCCAGTACAGCATCATGAAGCTGTGCAGAATGTCCTTCATCTAGAGTCAACCTCCGACTCTTATTTTCCTGCAAAAAGAATTATTTTTAAACATAAAACTATGATTACTGTACTTATTTTTCAACACGTTCTTTATTTGTGCATTTATTTATGTTCTAACAAACAACGGAAGAAATCACCATGTAGCCTTATTACTGCAAGGAGGAATTCTCAAACTTTTGGAATGATGCTACAACCCCATTGTTGAGTATACTAAGTATTTGTTTGATAGCTATACTCAATAAATAAATAAAATTGCTGTATGTGAACACAATTAAACATTTGAAAAAGACAAGTTCTTGGACAAATGGAAAATTATTTCATCAGGAGAGGTCATGTTTTACTGCTAAGAAGTGTTTTGCATAAATGGTGATACAAGACAGATTATGGCCGAAAATCATTTTGCTTTCCTATATTTTTACAATTTCAATTGCATTTTTCCCGCCTTTTCTTCCATTCCACTCCACTCCTTTAAAAAAAAACTTTGCTGCACAACTGTGAAATGAAGTAGGCAGTTTTACCAAACACGCAAAAATAGTTCAACGTATTAACTTATGAAGCTAAGAAGTAATATTATAAATATGGTGAATAACAAAACCCATTGTATAACTCAAGTGGTGTGTCATGTCATGAGAAAAATAAACTGACGGTTATGCACTTCATAAGCCAGAATGATTAGCAGATTTTAGAACTCTTAATACCTGAGATGTTAGTTTTCTTTCAATATTCTGAAGTAAGCCTTTTCTAAAATAAAAATTAAAAAAGAATCTATGTAGAATGAGTAACATTTTAAATCCTAAGTTGCTGAATGTCATTCATGCCAGAACCTCATTTAACTTACAGAATTACAGAACAAATGCTAAGAAATTAAGATTAGTGACCTTTAGTATAAGGCACTTCATTCTTTAAATATATTTTAGTATAAATATATTTTAATATATTCCAAAAATGAAAACATCATTAAGATGGAAGAACATTGATTTTTTTTGCCCATACAAATGAAGCATCTCTCAGTCCTGTACAGTGGTCGGTGCCCTGACCAGCCTTACATTAAACATATGGGTGGCTAACAGCCATCATTGACACATCCTTGTCCTCTCTCTTGCACCTCCCCAACCCTTGCAAAGAGCCACATCTTCACTATCAATGACTTTCTGCCAATCGTTGCCTTGCCTCTCACTATCTCAACCCTTACTCTGTCTTCTGATCCCTTACGCATTTCCCCTTTAAGAATGTTTGCAACATAGAGTACTTTTCAGATGCAAACTGTTCTGAAGTTAAATATACTATTTAAAATTCAAGTTAGCTCATTTGCTGGTTAGTGCAAATCTCAAATCAGACAGTGTAAATTTGTGTGTCTTGTGCCCAGGCTCTTTAAAATTACACACCTCAACAATGAAATTAAAAGAGTTGATTGAGAAGAGACACAGCCTCTGACATTACTATTGGGATCCAAATACCGCTTTGTAAGATTTTATAAGACAGAATTATATGGGTTGCATGGTTGTAAAATTACTTAATATTAAACGGGGAGACAGGAACTGATTACCTATAGAGGGACATGAACACCACTAAACGCAGCAAGGATGGCCACTCAACCTTGCTTTTACTACTGTGTCAAGTTATTAGCTTTCAGACATTTATTTGTCTAAACAAACCGAGCAAAGACGGGTGTTTTAGTTTGGTACCGTTGCCAACACTGAACAACATATTGCAAGCACTCAGATTTTGAGTGTTTCACTTTGAGTCAAAGTGCTGTAGTAAGCAAAGAAACTTTATTGTGATAAATGGTGATCAGTAGATACATAAGAAAGAAATTTATGGAGTCAGTTAATTCAGTTGAATGATTTGCAATGCAGTGATGCCAATGACATGGGTTAAATTTTCATAACGGATGAGGTTACCATGAAGGTTCCACCTTCTTGACCTCAGGCCTCACCTGAGGCGTGGCGACCCTCAGGTTAAATTCACCATCCATTGTCTTTCTTTAATGAGAGAGTGGCCTTATGGTTCTGAGGCTACAGTGACAACTACAACTGAAGGATTTTTAATTCAACACCAAGAAAAGTGTTGTAGTTGTTCGTTTTCACTGACAGCAATTCTTTTTACTTGATTGATTGATTAACACTGAAAAGTTCCTAAAAGAAACATTTGCTCAATACTGTAGTTCTATTCTGAAACTGAGTGCTATGGGAAAACAAAAAGTCTTTTGTTGAGAACATTAACTACCCATACTATTAATAAGGAATACTTAAAGCAAGCTGAAAAAACACAGCCGAAAATATTGTTAGAAAATAGCAGAGTTGGAGTGTTAAAACTCTTACCACCAATAGTGTCTCAGGGTCCCTGCTTCTGATGATAGCACCTTATTGCACATGGAGAAAGAAATACCGAGAAAAACAAATTTAATCCTAACACAGTTAACATACAAAATGCACAGGCAAACTTACCTCTGTTAAGGAAACACTGACTGCACAAGGCAAAAGGTTTTGAAGTATTGCACTAGGCCACAAATGGAGAACGTAAGCATTATTATTTTCATCACGATTGTCAGATGCCAGCATGTCATGCATTGCAACTATATTGATCATTAGGGTATGCTGGTCATCATCACTAGAAAGCTGGCACTTGCGATGAAATAGTATTTCAGTACTTGTGCTAACATGACCAAATGTGATAGCTTCACAGGGAGCATACATTTTCTTGTCTTCCACTATCAGCTGCAAACGAAGATCTGATCTGCAAGAACATGCACAAAATAAACAAACAATGTGTTAAAACAAGATACAGGTAGTTCGCCTATAATATAATTGTTGCGCTCGTGTGACCTCGTGTTATCCAAAATCGCAATGGAAAATCGCTTTATAGGGAAGTCACTAAACCTGTACAGCAGAATGTTCCCATTATACAGTATCCGCTATTCATCAATCATGTTAACGAAATACACATTATAGAGGAACTACCTGTATTTAAATTGTCACTAGGTATAAAATAAAACGCAAACTAAAATTTTGCAGCATGTAAAAACAGATGCAAAATGAATAATGTCACATGCTTTCTTGCCGCCTCAAAACTAACAAGATGAATCAAGAATTTGAATTTCATAGTACCTTTAATAAAGAAAACTATCCCAAGACACTTCATAGAAAAAAAAGAAAGAAAAAATGGCATCAAGACAAAGAAAAGTTAAGAGGAGAAATCAAAGGATTAATCAAGGAAGTAGGTTTGAAGCTATGCCCTAAATTGGTGAGGGATGTGAAGATACAGATAAGCTCAAGGAAGAACTGCTAAGGAGACCAAATCTATAGCATCAAAAAGGGCTGCAAAGAGACATGTTGGTATACAAAAATCCAGTCATGTTGATAACAGAATTTTGTTGAAGGGGAGGCTCATAGCAGTGAAGACTGTTACTTTGAACTGATGGAGGAATTAAAGCACCAGGATCAACTTGTTAAATGGCATACATTTAAATACTAAGGACCAATGCAATTCAGTAAGGGAAAAAAAAGGTGCCAGTCAAGTGGAAATGCTGTTGGAATGGATACAAGTAGTAAAATTTTGAAGAAGTGAAATTTATGGAAGGTGGAGAATGGCAAGCCAGAGAAGTATTACAATAACGAAACTGGATATGGTCAGAAGTCGCACAACACGAGGTTATAGTCTAACAGGTTTATTTGAAATCACAAGCTTTCGGAGCCTCGCCCCCTTCATCAGGTGAAGTGAAGAAGGGCAAACAGGCACAGAATTTATAGGCAGTGAGATCAAAAGGCAAAGTGATCAAAAGATCACACAAATAGGGTGAGTGGAGTGTCGAATAACAAGTCTCTGCAGGTGATCAAAAGTGTCAGAGAGTGAGAGTAAAGTGTCAGCTGTCTTTTAATCCAAATAATTGAGGCAGAGAGACAATTACAAATAATTAAAAATATGGTGGCGCTTGAGACCAACCGAATGGCAGGATTAACATGATAATTATGAGTCGCATGCCGAGAGTCTAACCAAGGTAACAAGTAATCCAAAACTGTACAAACTAATTAAGGTAGAGAGATCATAAGTTATCAAGGTGATGGTGTTAAAACAGGACAGTAAGGAAGATTTTACAAATACAGAACAATATGATGGGGTTACACGTAGCACGACATGAACCCAAGATCATAGTTGAGGCTGTTTTTATGGGTACGGAACTTGGCCATCAGTTCCTGCTCGGCGATTCTGCATTGTTGTGCATCTCGAAGGCCACCTTGGAGGTCGCTTACCTGAAGATCAAAGGCTCAATGTCCTTGACAGTTGAAGCATTCCCCGACTGGGAGGGAACATTTGCCATACAGCAATGTTCATCCCAGTCCAACACCAGCACGTCCACATCAAATTGGATATGGCAAAAACATGAATAAGGATTTCAGTAACTGTTCGGGACAGTTAGGGGAACAGACTACATAATTAGGGAGGTGAACATAAGTACTCTTTTTCTTGAAGAAAATATATGACAGAAGCTTAGCAAGGATTTGAATATGATCTCAGCGGTGAAGCAATTTGAGGGGCAGGTGGGAGGATTTTTAAAGATGGAGTTGATGGAATGTAGAGGGTGGCTTTGCTTTTAAGTGTTTAGCAAACAGAAACTGATTTATCCAAAACTGCATTTCAGACTCGCACTCATACAATGTAGATGCAGGGAAAGGTTTGAAAAGCAATGGAAATGCATAATGATATCTTCAGCTACCCTTTGATGGAGATTTTAATCCAACAGAATGGGTAGCAGAGGGGAGGGTTAAATTCTTAATATGAAGCAAGGCCCAAGCCTGCCACAAATATATGTCTTCTGTCAGTTTAATCAATGTGTGGTGCAGGACTCCGGGGGTTAGAGGAGTAGCGTCTTCTAAAGGCAGAGAAATATATATCTTAAGACTGCATGCTTCAGATTTCAACAGCTGTTTTCCTTGAACTGCAGGACTTGGAAACTTAGTCACAAAAGGGAAAAATAAATGACTATATGCAGAGATTAAGTGTTTTAAATACAGCTACAAACTCTGCACTCCTGCTGAGTTTCTTCAGCAATTTCAGTTTTTGATCCAAATCAGTGCTCTGTTCCCACTTACTCCCGATACTCTACGATCCTTTCAGCCTTAGAACTATATCGAATTCCTTCTTGAAATCACAACTCTCTGGCCTCAACTGCTTTCCATGGCAGAGAATTCCATTTGTCACCACTCACTGGGTAAAGAAATTCCTCCTCATCTCAGTCAGAAATGCCTTATCCTTGTATCCTTAGACTGTGACCCCTGGTTGTACACTCCCCACTCATCAGGAATTACTTCCCTGTGTTTACGCTGTTTAGTCCTATTAGAATTTTACAAGTGTCTGTAAGATTCGATTCCCCAAACCCCCTACCCCACTGCCCCAAACCACTTCCTCTAAACTTTAGTGAATATAGTCCTAATTGATTAAGTCTCTCTTCGTAAGGCAGTGCTGCCATTCCTAGAATCAGAATGGCAAACCTTTGTTACATTCCTTCTGCAACCCGAGCTTCCTTCCTTAGATACTCAAAGGAAACCAAAGCTGCATGCAATACTTACTCCAGGTGTGGTCTCACCAAGACCCTGCACAACTGCAGCAAGTCATCTCTGCTCCTGTACTCAAATCCTCTCCTATATAGGCCAACAAACCATTTGCCTTCTTCACTGCCGCTACATCCGCATGCTTACTTTCAGCAATGGGTATGCTAGGACACCCAGGTCTCACTGCACCTGCCCCTTTCCTAATACATTTACCAGATGATAATCTGTCTTTCTGATTTTGGTACCAAAGTGGCTAACCTCTCATTTATCCACATTATCTTTCACCTCCATCATTTATCCACTCAATCAAAGTTGCAGCATGCTGCTATGCAGAGGGACCTGGGTGTCCTTGTGCATAAATCACAGAAGGTAGGTCTGCAGGTACAACAAGTAATTAGGAAGGCAAATGGAATTTTGTCCTTCATTGCTAAAGGGATTGAAATTAAAAGCAGAGAGGTTATGTTGCAGCTGTACAAGGTGCTGGTGAGGCCACGCCTGGAGTACTGTGTACAGTTTTGGTCTCCTTCCTTGAGAAAGGATGTACTGGCACTGGAGGGGGTGCAAAGGAGGTTCACTAGGTTGATTCCGGAGTTGAGGGCGTTGGTTTATGAGGAGAGACTGAGTAGATTGGGATTATATTCATTGGAATTCAGAAGATTGAGGGGGGATCTTATAGAAACATATAAAATTATGAAGGGAATAGATAAGATAGAAGTAGAGAAGATGTTTCCACTGGCAGGTAAAGCTAGGACAAGAGGGCATAGCCTCAAGATTAGAGGGAGCAAATTTTGGACTGAACTGAAGGAATTTCTTCACCCAGAGGGTTGTTAATCTGTGGAATTCCTTGCCCAGTGAAGTAGTTGACGCTACTTCAGTAAATGCTTTTAAAAAAAGGTAGATTTTTTTTGAACAATAAAGGAATTAAGGGATACGGTGAGAACGCGGGTAAGTGGATCCGAGTTCGCGAAAGGATCAGCCATGATCTTATTGAATGGTGGAGCAGGCTCGAAGGGCCAGACGGCCTGCTCCTGCTCCTAGTTCTTATGTTCTTATTCATAAGTCAAAAGCTGACATGCAGCTACAGCAAGCAATTAAGAAAGGAAGTGTTACGTTGGTCTTTATTAGAAGCAGACTGGAATACAAGTGGAAATAGAGCTGAAAATATACAGAACCTTTGTCACCCTGCATATGGAGGACTGTGCACAGTTTTAATCTCCTTAACCAAGGAAGCATACAGTTGTCTCAGGAGTGCAATAATGGTTCACCAGACTGATTCCTGAGAAAGCAGGACTGTCCTACCAAGAGAAACTGAGGAGACCGAGCTTGTTTTGAAGAAGAATGAGAGTGTATTTCACTGAAGCTAATAGAATCCCCACTGCATGGAAACAGGCCATTCAAACCAACAAGTCCACACCAACCCACCAAGGCCCAAACCCCTACCCTATTCTTGTAACACTGCATTTTCCATGGGTAACGCACGCAACACATTTCCGAATACCGTGCATAATTTAGCATGGACAATGCACCTAATTGGTACATCTTTGGACTGTGGGAGGAAACCTGAGCACCCAGCAGAAACTCGGGCAGACACGGGGAGAACGCGCAAACTCCACACAGTCAACCGAGGCTGGAATCGAACTCAGGTCCCTGGCACTGTGTAGGAAACAGTCCTAACTACTGAGCCATCGTGCCGCCCCACAACGTGATTATTATAGAGCTCAACAGGACAGATGCAGGAAGGATGGATGCCTTGGTAGTTGGTGTATGTGTGGGTGTTTGTCAAAACAGGGGACACGGAATAAAGGGTAGGCCATTTAGGACTGAGTGCATTTCTTCAGTCAGAGGATAGCAAATCTTATTCCCTACCCAACAGTGCAATGGATGCTCAGTCAGTCAGTCACAGAGTACATACAAGCTAGAGATCAATAGATTTCTATACTAACAAATACTACAGCTCAGGTTGGAAACAGGCATTGAGGTAGATGATCAGTCTTGATCTAGTTGAGACTAGAGTAGGCTCAAGGGGTGAATGGCCTTCTTCTGATCCCATGTTAGATCTCTGATACTCAATTTTTGGATGTACGTACATTTCTGGTCGTTATCCTTCAACTTTCATCGAATAGTATTCAGAATTCCCCCAACAAACTACACAATCACAACTTGTGCCTGCTTTAGTTTTTTTAGCCCTGGTCA